GAAAGAGGTGATGAAAAATCATTACCATGTAGCCCATTTTTCTGCACAACCGATTAGTACCAATGATTTTAAGATACTTTTTCCACATTTTTAACATTTCTGAAATTATGGCATGTCTTACATTTGATGGCATCTAAGAAATGATGTCAACAAATTATATTTTATGACTAAAGCACAAGAAAAATCTTCATGTCTGTCACACTAGTCATGGGACAGTAAACATAAAGATAGCAACAAAGAAGATTCCAAAAGTATTAATATAAAGATTTATGTTTTAATATTAACAATTCCTATTGTAATATTGTATTTTAAAACCTATTACTAAATGAAGGGTGCATCTCACAATTGGTGGTATCTTAAAATTGAGGAAATATTATATATAACCATAAAAAATCATACTAAACATTTCTGAAAGAGAAATTTCTTAATGTATTTTGGAATAGGCTGTTACCTATAAAATGTTGGTAAATTTCTACCAGATTACAAGGTGCAATATCTCAGAAGACGGTCGTCTAAAATTTCACGCAATTCACCATATAGTCCAACACAAGTTATTACCTTCACAGTCTGTCCATTCACCATGCGTGCCATGCAGACTTCAGATATTCCAAGCACATTTGTTGTCTGAAAATCCTTCACATCCAGTCTGTTATACTAGAAGAACAAACAAAAACTTTCTTTAATGGCATTAAAATATTTAATAATGTAAAAATGAAATGTTCGTGTTTTCTGTCCAAATTGCTTAAAGCATTCCAAATTCACATTTTATGTTCTTTTTATCAGGGCCCTTCAACAAGATCTGATGAAGCATTCAGTGGTTAAAATAAACAACAAACAGGCACAGTTTTTCTGTAAAGTAAAACTGTCACACTACCTGTCTTACCTACCGCAGAAAAGTACAATACAGGGTTAGGTTTGACTTGGCTCATCAAGTCATATGGAGTAACAAGATACAGCAGATGCAGGTATGATGACAACACTAGGCTTGACTGAGCTTGAACCAGGTCCTGGTATAACGTGTGGGCACGAGACAAATGCATACATCCTGCAAATTCAAAGCATTGCAAACATTGATTTCACTAAAACCAATTACAGACTGCATACAAAAGGTTCAAGCAAAAATAATTCCAGTAGTTATAGGGGCAACAGGAACTGTCTCCAGGTCGCTCAGGAAATATTTGGCCAACATTCCGGGCGAACACGACGTCAGGGAACTTCAGAAAACTGCCATTTTGGGAACTTCATACATCATTCGAAAGACGCTGTTGTAAAATAAAATAATATAATACATGTAATACATATTAAAAACAAAACGTATCCCGGAAATAGCTGCTGCCCTATGTACCTTATGGACAAGGTCTGTCTCGGGTACATAGAAGTACATACCCCATAAAGTGGTGAATAAATGGGATGATGATGATGATGATAATAATAATAATAATAATATTTATGAAGACGAGCGTAAGCAGTATTCAACTCTTTGAAAGCGAGATCATTTTTGTCTGGCATGGTTCTCAACACAGATGATAAATCCTTTTTTTAAACTGAAATATGCGTGAAATAATGTCAACACGGAAGTGAGAAGAAAATATCTGTAAACAGCAGACAAATGAAAGATAACCAAATTCCCAATATATGCAGTCTTACATAGACAGCAAAAGCAAGTGCTGGACGATGCACGTGTACATACACACCTTTTATGGCAGCTTTCCCAAGTCTGCTAACTCTGAGTAGCGCCCCGCTTTTCAAATGTGCTATCACATTATGCTTCTCTCTCTTATTGTGAGTTGGTGTCAAAGGTTTATTTTTCTCCGTTCCAGATTTCGATGCGCTGAGCATATGCACTGATACGTTACTGTCGGCAGTGAGCATGGTGCTTGAATTTGGGCTGTCAGAGTATGAATAAGAAATTATTATTATTATACAAAACCTTTCTAAAAAAAAGACTGCAAAGGTGTAATCCGTACCAGAACAGACATGCATTATTTGCAAATTCTGAATTCTGAATCATAACTATTAATTAAAGACTACATAATTTATCTTACTTATACAACTTTAGTTTTCAACTATACAAATCATGTGATCTTAATTTTTCTTCTGAGTAACATAAATCAATTCAGATACACCACAATGACCAGCCATGTTAATTCTGAATAGGAGTCCAATGTTTCAGAAACCCTCTGTCTCGGTCATCAGGGAATGATGTGGGAGGTGACCACCATGTGTTGTTTAGATCAACTGCGTACATAAACACCACACACTGATCACCCATCACGTGATTCCCTGATGACTGAGACAGACGGGATTTCTGAAATGTTGGACTACTGTTCCGAATTGATGCAGCTGGTCACCCAAGAAGATTTTATCAAACCAGCCTTCTATTTAACACTTTAAAATATATATTTCTACAAGCTTCTTTACTGCCCTATGCCCTTGGGACCAGTGGCGAGCACGCTAACCATTAGTCCACCGAGGGCGACATTTGGTCTGGTAGAAGTTTATCAACGTTTCAGAGATCCTTCCTGCCTCATCATCAGGTGATCACCTACATGGTGCTAGAACCAAGAAGACAGCCATCTACGTACACACTGCCGTGAGAACCTCAAATCCGACTAATGTTTAACTGATGTTATATAAAAGTTTCACCTTGATTCTTCTGGATCAATTGTATGTAAGGCTTTCAATTTGATCAGTTGGGTTAAGATATTGTCAATCTCAAGAACCAAATTCACATTCAGTCTTGAAGCTTGTAAAGATAACAGGGAGCAACTTATCAGCTTCTGAAGAGTGAGTCTTGTGGTTGCAATACCTGAAATTGATATTAAAGGACACTCAATTTCTGTACATGTAACTGAATAACTTATAGCAAAGAAAATGTCTAGTGAAAAGAAATCAACCTGACAAAGTAACTTAACACCAGACTCGAAATACATATTAAAAGCACTTGCAATTACTATGCTAGGTTCTATGGTTAGAAAATATTAAATCTTACCAGTTTAATAAACTACTTCTATGGTAGATGTCAGCATACAGATTTCACTTGTCAGTTTTGGGGGAAATATAAAACTACCTACTCTGCTTTTAAAGCAAATCAGCATATGCCAAATTTCCCAAACATACAATATTCCAATTGTGTCCTAAAAGTTCCTTAATTTTAGATTTCATTCACTTAGTGTTAAATTTATTTGATTCCAACCCAATTATTTTAGTGTTATACAAAGAAGCTTCAAGAAAGTTTCAGGTAGGCTGGAGTCCACTTGTACCTGCGAAGATGTACATGTGTATACAGTGTATATTATATGCACGACCAAATTATTGTTCAGTTTATGTCAGACAAGTGTGTGTAATAGGTCCTAGAGGGCACAGCAGGGTGTGGAAGGTTTCACAGTAGGAAAATGGACACCTCAAGCAGCGGGCCAATACAAAATTTTGCTAGCAATAAAAAAAACTGGCTATAAACACTGAAGATGCTTCAGGTGATATATGGAAAATAAATGACAATCCAGTCCAAGGTGTTTGAGTGGCACCACAGGTTCAAGGATAGTTGTAAATTACTGGAAGACAACCCACATGGAGGATAATAGCCTGCAATATTATGGAACGAGGATAATGTGATACAGATAAACGAGGTTGTGGATTCTGATCATTGTCAGATGGCAGAGACAACTGTGAAGAAATCCAAAATTTAAGTTCATAGTACGGATTTGAAGATGCATCATGTCTGTGAACATATCAAACCAAGAATGTTAATGAAGGAAAAATGTGATGACCACAAGAATGTGAACCAATATAGCAGATAATAAAGCAGACTTCCTGTGAAGGGTCATCATGTGATGAAAATTAATGTTTCTTGTATGATCTTCAAAATAAATGGCAATTAACCATATGGAGGCTTATACCATCACCAAAAACCATGAAGTTGCAAAATAACTGCTCAAAAGGGAAGCTGTATTGTACGTCATGGTTACTGACAGGGCATTACATGCCGAAGTGCTACAAGAAAGATCTCACATGATTATAATAGCAAATTTGTCTAAACCAAACCAAAATGAGGGCAGCCACAGTGGGATGTTCCCACATGACAATGCCCCAGCACGTCACTGCCTGTGTTAAAGCAACTCAACCAACCATGGTACTGTGGCATTCCCCAGCCTACAATATTAGTCTGATTTCACACTACACATTTTGCACTCCTTCCATGGATCACGGAAGAGATGTCACTTCAAAGAAGCAGGAGGTTCAAGTGGCTTCAAAATTTGCGTTACAGAAATATTTTGAACGTCTGGCATTATATCTTTGCAACTTCTGTGATCAGATAAGACTCATGGCCCAGAATTTACTGAACCTACGATATAATCAGTTACCTTCTTTCCCAGAGAAACACTACATACTTACCCAGTCCAACAGCACTGAGAATCAAGTTTTGTATTCCTAAGCCATCATTCAAATGTAGTGTACTAGTGACATCATCCATTTCTGAGCAGAGAAGCTGTTTTACCTGAAAACATTAACAATTAAAACTACGTGGAGGCAGTGAGGTAACAGAAAAACAAAATTTACCTGCTTAACCAACATGCAGTAAAACTACACTACAGACAAAATCTCATCTTATAACTGTGACCTGACAAAAGTTATAACTACGAGTCACAACAACAAACAAAAGAATGTATTCCTCATGGGTAGCCCATTAACTGGCTGGGTAATGTTCTGTTTGAATAAATATGCATCCACCTCAAATCATTTATGCAGAAAGACTTTAAGCATCATCTATAACCGAACATTTAATACTATATGTAATAAATACAATCCAATATAATGTTCCAAACCATTACTGCTGCAGAGAATAATATAAATATTTCATTATTTGAAGAAAAACAGCAACTATGAAATGACGCTAGATGAAAGATGTTAGAAAGCATTAGCAGCACTTCCACTTACACAAATTTGTTTACATTGCCTCTCGTCTTGACCGGAACGCCGTATAATTATGCTGAACCTGCTAAAGCAATATGTCAAAGAAAGGGACAACAGAAACACAACAAAATGTAAGTCAGAACATAAAGCAAATGCTTCCAAAATTTGAGCTGGTGGCCTCCAGGATATTCCTAATGGACAGAAATGATAAAGATAAACCAACCAAATCCTGGAATCACATGTCTGCTCACTTGTATGTCCAGTCAGAATCAATACCATTCTTCTCACTACTTTCGGCTTCATTTATGTGTAAGTGGCAACGAACAATGGAACAAATCATATGTGGCAGCTTTGTACATCAGCCAAGGGTCTTTGTTGGTCCTATGGGTTGCAATGCTATATGGACTTGTAGGGTAGATACAACATTTCAGAACATTGATATCCAGGTATAGGTTCACAACCAGAAGACCAACACTGACATCTTTACTGCTGTGAAATATGTTACATTACAAGGGTAACATTCCATGTATCCCACCTTTAGAGCTTCATTTGTCTTGCAGATAAGAATGCTCTCGCCAGTCTCACCAAACCCAGCCCTTCCTGCCCGTCCAACCATTTGTTTGTAGCGGCTCAAGTTGATGAAGTCTCGTCCTACGAACGGCGAACGCAGGATCACTCGTTTAGCTGGCAGATTCACTCCTGCAGCCAACGTTGAGGTGCAGCAAATGCAGCAAAGCGTACCGGTTCGAAACGCTTCTTGTAACAAATGTTTCTCATCAGCAGTCAAACCTGACAGAAATCATGCAATAAATGAGCATAGCAGCACAATAAGGAAACATTAATGAATAAAAATCTACAGTCACTTGTACATGAAGTGTTCACTTATACTTGAAACTTCAGAGATTTACTCTGAAATAAACCTCTAAACTATCTTCAAAAAGTCACACCTCACAGCGCACTGTAATTATATTAAGACCTACGAAACAGAGAGAACTATTTGTTGTTGCAGAATATAGATATTACCTACCATTCCAATTTTATGGACAACCAACGTTGTCAAAGTTGGTAAATATAAAGGAATAGCCATTGCCAAAAACAGTCATTACACATGTTCAAGACTGAACATCGAGATTAAGTCATTAGCTTGCCTGCATCATATTCATGAGCTAATAGCTTCAAATCTTAACCTGAAGACTGGCTACCCTAAGGCTGTGATTTTCCTCAGTCCCTCCAGGCAAATGGCCGGACAGTGCCTTAAACTGGGCCATAACCATTTCCTTGCATATATTTCCAATTCACTATTCTGCAATCATTCTATCTCTCAATACTATGTATGTAATCTGAGCTAATGAGTGTCCTTAAACAAACCAAGAATAAATATAAACAAACAAGGTCAGACAGTTAACAATAATTAGCATACTTAAAAAACTAAAACCTTTTATAATTTGGGTATAGTCTTTAAAACAGGGTAAAATAGTACATATTTACCACAATGTAAAACTTCAGATCTTTACAACAATCTCCTCATCAACGTGTATTGTATATTTTTAGATATTTGAATTTGTAAACATTTCTAGTTTCATTGATGATGTTTAACTAATTTTTAGGCACAACTGCAACCCAGCAGCATGTTTGTTAAAACCGGTCAATCTGCCTGTCCATATGCATAATACACCTCAAGAATTAATAAACCAATTTTGATAAAATAGTGTACAGTAGAATGTTTTAAAGATTATCTCAGTACAACAGCAGACAACTTTTACCTCCATGATGACACCATCACCCAGACAGGCGCCCAATCCCCCAAAGATCACTGGTCCATTTTGCAAAGGTCAAGGGCCAAATTTTGGCAACCATGCCAAAATTGTTACACCACGTGTATTGTTCTTAGCATGTTATATTTTCAATATTATGTTAATGCCCATTAAAAACATAACAAAATGTCTTGTAGTTTATGAACTGTAATCATAAAATACAGAATACATGGCACAACACCCCAGAAGACAGCCATCTTCAGACTCACCACCATAAAAACCTCAAATTCTACAGAAAGAATGTGTTCAGCCCCTTCATTTAGATTCATCTTGTATTACACCATTTAACATTTTAAGTTTATTATACCCGAATGATGGTATGCCATTCCAAATGGAAGAATCTTTTTCAAAACTGGACAGACTGAACCATTCCCTTCGCTCATCAACGCTCGATATAAAGCTTTCTTTTCTTCCTTCTTCTCCTGCAAAATTTCCCTGAAACCAAAAGAAATTGTCACAAATAATTAAAAATAAACAATTTCAAAATGATTCCTTTATAAATATTTTAAGTGAAGCTCAAACAGTGACTTTCAAAATCAAAGTCCCAAAATTTTGTATGTTGTAACACTGTTAAAATGTTGTGATGGTAAATTTTATTATAAGAAAATTATAACTCATTACAGACCCTGCACCAAACATTTGTTTGCATTTCTAGTTCAATTATGCCAACTCCTTTTTAATTCACTTCCCAGTGCATTCTAAAATGTTGTCAACTGCCTACCTAATATAAATTGTCATTTAACTCTACTCTGATTTTAATGACGAAATAAAAACAAGCAGTTTAAGAAAATTTGTTTATTACTTTAATAATTTTTGGAAACTTGTGTTCCCATGAAAATTGAACTTTTCTGTAGAAATCTAGTTCACTCAAAAGCAGCACTCTTAAAAGAGAATAAAAGGAAATAGCCATCTTATCCAGGTAGACCATTTTATGTAGGTTTCTGCTAAGTGTGACAGGATTACTAGGAGGAAAGTAGGAGGAGACTGTTGTACCTAAAGCAACAAACCATACTTCGGTAAAACTCTGCAGATCAACTGGGCAACATTTTCACAGTTCTTCTTTGTAGGACAAAAGACAAGGCATGAATTTTCGGGGATCACTTCCATTACCAGTCCTCCAATCAGGTCTGGATCAACAGCAGCTGCAGTCGCAGAATACTGTAAACAAAAACAAAAAGAATAATATGATGTGTACAAACACAGGACAGGAATATGTAGATATGTAATCATATCAAGGGCAAAGATTATGAAGTGATGAATAAGAAATGGTAGAATGATTATGAACCTTTATCAGCCATGCATCATGTCTTAATGGTGCAACTGGCCATGCATAGTGCTAGAATATCATTGAACCATTAACCCCAGAGAAAAGTCTGGCCAATAATCCTGAAGTACAGGGGTTTAAATTCCCTGTTCCAGTACAATAAAGATTACTGATGAATCATTAGGGATATAGGGAAACAAATGTGGCCAATTTTAATCCATTAATGCAGAATTCAACTGGAGAAATACTTGACACCATCCGTTTGGTTATTAACGATTTTGATTAAATTACTCATTTATAAAAAGTACACAATTCTGGCCAACTGCGCCCATAAATAAAAGCTTAACCTTTAGAAGTTTTTATTCTTCGTGACATACAAAGAAGTATAAGAATTCGCACATGGAGATAACAATGCATAAAAAATTTGTAGTCAAAAAAAGCTGGAATCATTGGCAGATGTAGGCTTAGGTGAGAGGTTAATATGAGGATAGATCTTAAATAGGGTGTTACAATGTGGAATGATTTCAACTGTCTCAAGTTAAGATCCACTGAAAGCATTTTGTAAACGCTATGATAAACCTTCACATTCCATAAAACTTTCAGACAGTCTTCATGGCTTCCAGTTTCCCCTTCGATCCATGAAGTTATTTACCTAGTGATCATCAGGATAAAATTGTAAAGTTTTTACTGACATTTAGAACTCACAGAAAATGACAGTTTTCTCTCCAATATCAGAAACTCATCTGGACACGCAGCTTTCCAGTTAACAGCATACAATCCATCCTCACACTTGACATATTCCTTCAGTTCTACTGGGCGGAAATCTTGCGCGTATGTTTCCGCATCTAGAAATTTTGCAACTTCATGCAAGTTGCCTATTGTTGCGCTCATCCCCACAATCTGAATACTTGCTGCCAACATTACAGGAAAAAATTCAGTTAATACAAAAACAGTATATTTATAAAAATAATTTTGGCATTTCTTGTAAAAGCAGAGAAAGAGGAGAGGAGATGGGTGAGGTATGTAGCTTGCACAAGAGTTATGAGAAATGTACACAAAATTTTAGGCAGAAAACCTGAACAGAACACACCAGGCATAGATTGGGTGAAAATATTAAAACTGTTCTAAAAGTCATAGGGTGTAAGGATGCTGACTGGATTCACCTACCTAAAGATAGAGCCCAGTGGTGGGAATTTGTGAACACACTTACAAACCTTTGGGTCCCATAAAAAGTGGGGTATTTATTGACTAACTGAGTGGATACTAGCTTCTAAGAAGGTTTCTGCTACACGGAGTTAATTGTACAAAATTACTAACATAAAGTATGTATCACTTCATTTCAACCCAAATGGGATGCATCATGATGTTTGGTTCCATAATAGTAAAACTGGTCACTACTTTAACGGGTATTTTACTAAAGAATATTAGGTTTTATGTTCTAAATATTAAAATTTCAATAGGATCAATAATCAAAACTTTGCAGGTATCATTTGTACAAAAACTATCAAACCATTCTTATTTGTAACAGCTATTCCTCTTTCAACAACTGCCAAGGAACAAAAGAACTAAATTTACTATGAGACCAACCAAGTGCCAAATTGGAGATGAAGGACCTAAATTAAGACCAGGGCCATGGCACACCTAATGGGGTACTGTTAATGAGTATGATGAATAGCAAGGGAAAATTAAATAACTTAGAGAAAACGGCTTCAGTGATACTTTGTCCATCATGAAATCATGAAGTCACTTGGGATTGAACCTGGATCTCTCTGCTGAAAAAACAACACTATCAGCCTGAGCTCTGACACGGTGTTAAGGAATATTCACAAATTGTTATACAAAATGCATATAACTTCCAATACATGCACATTTTTAAGTATTATATGAACAATCAAAATTTCACAACACCCCATATAAAAAACAAAGTATCAGTACCTACAAAAAAGTTTTGAAGCAAGAGATACTATAGATTTAGGAAGAGACATCATCTAAGTATGTATACTTGAACTAGAAGAGCACAAAACAGTACAAAAGTAAATGTACACAACTAATAACTTCCATTTTCAAAATTTTTTGAATGTTTCTTAAATTTAATACTTTGCTGCTAAGAACGCAATAAAAAACATGTTGAAATTATCATAGTCACCTTGCACATAGAGTAGTTTTGTAAGAAGTCCTTCTAGGGTGGATCCCCTCCCATTAGATTCACCAAGAAGATGCAATTCATCCACAATAAAAAGGCCGAGTTCTTCCAATCTCTTCTCTTCAATTAAACTGTTTGTAAGACCAAGGGCCTTTTCAATGGTTGCCACATACACGGTCTGTTTCTTACGGCGTTTTGGAGGAGGATACTGGCCTTTCCCGGCAGCATATTCTTCTACAAAGAACTCAAGTTCTAATCCAAATGGGGCAAGGGACCTGACCTGCATATAAACATAACATTCTAATCAGCATTACTATCAAAGATACCATATACATCCAAATCATAATTTTAATTGATCACAACATAATAACGTAGTGAGCAGAAGTATGATTTCAGGTTCCCACAATTGTGAGTACAAAAATGGCTGTCTTCTGAGTTGTAGCACCGTGTAGACTCATATAAGTTCACCAATGTAAGATTTCAGGTTTTCACAGCAATGAGTATGAATATTTCTGTCTTCTGGGTTGTTGCGCTGTGTAGTATGGTCGATGTTTACCAACGTTTCTGAGGTCATATTGCCTCCATCATCAGGGCGATGAATATGCCAATTGGGTGGGTGGTGATAGGTTTAAATTGGCATATTCATCGCCCTGATGACAGAGGCAGTATGACCTCAGAAACGTTGGTAAACATCGACCATACTACACAGCGCAACAACCCAGAAGACAGAAATCTTCAAGTTCACCAGTGTTTCAGAGGTCCTTGCTGCTGCCATCATTCCCCTCATGATGGAGGCAGCAAGAACCTCTGAATCGTTGGGTAAACTTCTACCAAACTACACAATGCTACAACCCAAAAGACAGCCATCTTAATTAGCACAAAATCAACTTAGTCATAATTGTACAGTGCATTATCAATAACTTTGTTATGTGTTATTTTTTGTTTCTCTTGTAATTAAACTTTGTGTGTCGCAATTTTATAATTTCCATCATTACCTTTTCCTGAACAATGGCTACGTATGGTAGTGCTAATATAGCATTCTTTCTATGACAAAGGAGTTCTCTGAGTATCAATATTTCGGCTACTAACGTCTTCCCACCACTAGTTGGGAGAGAGTAAACTAGGTTCTTCCTCCACTGGAGAGCATCTAAATTTAAACATTCCTTTTGCCAGGCTGAAAAAGAAATTGTATAAATTACTATTATAATGATGATGATAACGTCCACCGCAACAGTAATATTACTACTAAAACTAGTAGTTTCTTCATATGTCAGTGGTTCATAATATATCAACAGTCTATCAAACATTAAATTTAACAAGCTCAGGACGTGTATTCTATACCGGAATACACCAAATATCCTCATGCATTCTTTGTAACATGCATTTAGAGGTATTACACCCGCCTTGTTTGATAATTGCACTTTGGCCACCACATGGCAGCAACTCAATATCTACCTCAAAAATTTCCTCATCCATCATTTTGCTATCAATGCCTGTATGATATTCAAATGTACAATTTTGAGGTTGTACAAAACAGAACAACTTCCACATCAAATGTCATCAAAATCCATTCAGTGGTTCTTGAGTAGAATTGACTGGACAGATGGACGGATGGATGGACAGGAGACTTGAATGCATTCTGATAGTAAAGAAAATTTGCCATCTTTGTTAGACATTTGACCACTATCTCTTTCCTACAAAGTGCATGAAAACATCTGAAACACAGATGCTATTACAGAATCTGTGCATGTACACATATTATAAATTCTAATTGTGAAAAAAAAGATACTGCCTTTTCCTAACTATAATGTGAAAAAAAGCAATTTCTCATAAAAATTCATGGCACACCTGAAACTTTGTGATGGCACATTGGTTGCACACCATTGGTCTAAATTATAAAACTATGAACCTATGTTTCGAACGCTGGGTTCTGCTTCCGACTTCAGACGTTAACCAGGTCTGTGGCTGGCTCAAGCAGGGCCCTAACAGATAAGCTTTCTGTTCTCTTCCCCTTTTTATCTGAATATGGAATCAGAATAACTCCAAAAGAAGAATTTTACACATTTTTACACACCATCATCAGAAATCTTCAAACTTCAAAATAGTTTATCCATTGAGGTACATTCAAATTTGCACTACGTAATAGCATAATATTATATAGCAGCAGAAATAACACACTGCCCCAAAGAATACTGAACTTATTGAGCTTTCATTCTGCCTCATAACTGCACTACACTTATATGGGGGGGGGGGATGTTATTCTAGGTTCATCATACTAGACATTAGTGTTTAATGGTTACAGGCTGTATTCAGACCCCAAGGGATCATTAAACTAAGAAAGCATTAGCCAGGCCATATAACATGAGCTTATTTTGAGTAATAAACAAAACTACATCAAAAACTTACGGTACAGATCTGAGATTCCTTTAAACTTCTGTATAAGTAATTTCACTTTCAATGGTAAACCAAAGAATGCACCAGAATCAGAAGGCGTTGATACTTTAACCAAACTTGAAGAATGGTTTTGTAGTATATGTCCAGGGTTTATATGTAAACTTTTAGGTTTTGGTGTTACTGGTTTCTGAACATTGGTAATAAGTGTCCTTTTTATCTTCTCTCCCAATGGCAGGTTACTCAGTGAAGGAGAATTTGATGCTGGTAAGTCTTTGTCAATAAGGCACACTGCATCTTCAAAAAATGAATCATTCTCCCATGCAACATCTATACTTTTAAAATTTGCATTCTGATCTGAATTGATTCCAACATGCGGATCCTTACATTCAGAATCATTTTCGATTAGTTTATGTGTGACTTTACTGGACAGATTAACCACATCACACTGGCTTTTTGAACACTGTGTTACAACCTTACAACTGGCTGCATCTCCTAACTGTCGCATGAAATTAATCATTTCATCATCGACTACATTACCACTACCTTCAAAGAGATCTGGGGATTCACACTGGTTGTCATGTCCTATACTCTGAACATCCAAATTTAAGTTCCTATTTTGGCTGTTCCAGTAATCTTTCACTGCACTGTCCAGATCTATAGCTTCTAACACAGATTCATCAAGGGACAGCATTCGGCATTGTGTCAGACTCTTGACAGCAGTGATGTCAAATGATTCACCACACACATTTCTACACGCATCTGTCCTTCTGTTTAATGATGTAATTCCTTTTACCAAACCAAAATGCTTTGTCTTCTGACTTTTAAGTGGTGTAATATTTTCTGTAGGATCGTTAGAATCACTGCATGTTTTTCGTCTTCCTTTCCATTGTGCTACAGTGTGACACTCTGAATTATCAATTGTTTTTCTCCTGAATTTCTGAGGTGTTGATGTCATGCATGGGTCCATTTCGGTCTTTTCAAAGAGCAATGGCGACCGTGGGTTTAGAGGGTTTTGATTTCCTAAATGCCCATTCTCTTTATATTTTGATATTCGATAAGAGTTTCTATTGATAACTTTTCTAACTATTTCCTCCCCCATCTTATACTAGCTGATATGCTGCATATGGTATACCTGAAACAGGTAGGATAAGCAATTTCAAGCAGAAAAGTTTCACAAGTTCTTAATAACTAATTAAAAACTATCACAAAATAATTGCAGTGAGGTATAATTGTAATTATAAATAAATAAGAACCTGTGAGAACCTCAAATCCAAAATTTCTAAGGCCTTTATAAATATATTAAAACCTGTATCAAACCTCATTTCATGTATAACAGCATCACATGCATAATATTGTATTGATCTTTTACTGTCATGTGGGATAAAAGTTTCCCAGAAAAAAAAATATAAGTATTCTACAGAAAAGATTAAGTTCCAGTTCCAGACACTGCTGGCAATTGACTCAAAAAGAGCCAATTAAAAATTACAAATTTCGGCACCCTGTTACAATTTCTCATGTTGAGATTTGTAACAAGTATAGGAGGATACAATACTGGAGAACCATCACAACAGAGTGACTTTTCAGTTCAAGAGTTAGATAATTCTGTGGGTATTTATAAACGATATTCACAGAAAATTAGACGTTCTGAGTTAGTATTTGGAGACTGCCCAGAACGATTATTGCACTTCAAAGACTCAAAACTGTAATAACAATTTTTAGTATTTTAAACAGGATTTAGGCACATTCACATAACCAGAAAGCTAAGGTAAGCAAAATTATAAACCCAGTAATTCATTACACTCAGTCACAAATTATATAACAATCAATCACAAATTACATCGCCTGAACATACCACACTACGCGCCATATCACTTTTGTATACGACTACCACTATTGAATAATACCAACGGTTGACAAAACAGCTGAAAATACCAAAGAACACATAACATTGGAAATTAATTCAGAGGCAAAAACGTTAACAGTAAAAATACCCTTGAAGAAGTCAAGCACTACGCTACCAATGTTTTACTCTATTCGAATTGTCAGTGTTTCGGGTTCTTCAAATATACCTTTTTTTACATACATCCATGGTAGTCGTATTGAAAACACTGAACTCAGCAAGTTGGTACCAATGTTGATTTGTGCGATATGTACGTGGTCAATCTGCGTGAGTTATCCATTATTGTAGCTTTAGAGGAAGTTGTGGTTGTAACGGTTTAGGTATTTTTATCGTAGTCGCAATAACATATCTTCATGTAGCACAGAGGCTGAAGGTACCTATGGATTATCGAAGCCCAATAAGTGGTTTTTGAAGTTGTTAAGTCAGAGTGCTATGGCATCATCACTATTAGATATGGAGATTGACAGAACACAGAAAATTGCAGAATCCCAACTTCAGTTTCAAGAATTTTCAGTGTCTGATATTGGAGGAGCTGCTGAATTAGATGTGAAGTCGTCACACACACTGACATTCAATCATTCTCCTGATACTCCGGGCTCAGATGTAGAGGGACCAGAATCAGAATTGCTGGGAGGTGCTGAAGGAAAACAGACAGCCTCATTTTGGACATTTGAATTCTATCAGCAGTTCTTTGATGTGGATACAAATCGAGTGGTAGAACGCATTTTGTGGTCCATGATTCCTCGTCCTGGTGTTAGCTATTTGCAGCATCACATTAAACCCAAACCTGACCTGTATGGTCCATTTTGGATCTGTGTTACACTAATCTTTACAATTGCCATTAGTGGAAACCTGGTTAACTATCTTCAGACAGCATCCACAAGGAATTACCATTGGAAATATGATTTTCATACAGTTACATATGCAGCCACTGCTATTTTTATTTATGCCTGGCTCATTCCAGCAGCACTTTGGGGTACCTTGAAGTGGTATGGCAGCCAAGAAGCCAGACTGTCATTCCTGGAGATTTTATGTGCGTATGGCTACTCACTTTCTATATATATTCCGGTCTCCATACTTTGGGTTATTCAGATTGAATGGTTGCAGTGGCTCTTGGTAGGAACAGGAGCAGCTCTTTCTGGATCAGTGCTGTTGATGACAGTTTGGCCTACTGTGCAAGGTGATAAGTGCTGCATTATTCTTGCAGCAGTATTGGGTCTACATATTCTCCTTGCAAACGGTTTTATGTTGTTTTTCTTTCATGTGCCAACCATGAC